AAGGTTTGCAACGATCAGTTGATTTTGAGATGAATCGGCTCAGTGCGGCGAGTTTGCCGGTTAGACTCTGGATTCCCTTGATCGAGGTCAGCGGCCGGAGGTCCTGGACTGCTCGGATTTTTTCGGGATTCGCGTCGATGCCGCGCTGGCTGACGATGTAACCCAAGAATTTTTCAGAGCCGACGCCGAAAGTACATTTTTTGGGATTTAACATCATGTAATAATCACGGAAAATAGAAAACATTTTATTAAGATCGTTTACATGGTCAGATGCGTACATGGACTTGGCTAACATGTCATCTACATACACTTCCATAGACACACCTACCAAACTAGCAAACATCTTGTTGACTAGGCGCTGGTAGGTGGCTTCAGCATTCTTCAGCCCAAACAACATCATCGTGTAGCAATAGAGCCCGCGTGCCGAGTAGAAAGAGGTATGTTCTTCATCATCCGGGTGCATTGGGATTTGATTGTAGCCGGAGTACGCATCCATGAAATTCATCAGCTCGTGCCTTGAGGTGGCGTCGACCATGTAGTCGATGTGAGGAATAGGGTAGCTGTCTTTGGGGCATGCCTTGTTCAAATCGGAGAAGTCGATGCACAGGCGCCATGCCCCGCTGCTTTTCTTCCCGAGGACCGGGTTGGCGACCCAGGTCGGATACCGGACCTCGCGAATGTACTCATTGTCTTTGAGTTTGGTCACCTCCTCTTCGAGGGCTTGTTGTCGGTCCGGGCTGAGCTTCCTCCTTTTTTTGCACGACCGACTTGACTGTGAGGTCGACCTGAAACCGGTGGCAGGCGACCCGCGGGTCGATACCGACCATGTCTTCATGGGTCCACGTGAAGACGTCTGCGTTTTCCCGGAGGAATTCAGTGAGCTGGGCTTTTATCGGCCCCGACAGCTTGCTTCAAATCCTTTGTTGTGTCTGACAAGTCTCTTCATCGATGAAGGTGACTTCAACTTCGTCCATGGGCTCGGCCCTCTTTGTCTCCCATTTTTCTTCGTACTGGGTCTGGGGGTCGAGCTCGTCTTCATTTATGACCGGCTCTTTGCCGGCCCTTCTTCCCCTGTCTAGGTCCAGGTCGGCCTCGGGCTCTTCTTCTGCCGGGCCAGTGTTACCGCCAGCCGATGGGAGCGGACCTGTCTGGTTGTCCAGCATGCGGTCGTCTCCCCGGCCATGGTGAACCGGTTCGGCACTTGCGTCGGGAGTGTTTTGGTTGCTGACCGCCTCCATCTCTGTCTCGGATCCCACATTGATTGGACCGGCATTTTACGCGGTCCGGAGGTACGAACCTATCTGGTCTCCCAGCATGCGGTTGCCCCTGGGATCATCATGTGCCGGCTACGTGTCAATTGCCAGATCGGCATCTCCCGTCTCGGTGTCGGAGAGGGGGTCTGCTGCGTTTATCTTTGCTCGCGGAATGGTCAAGACGCACTCCCGCGCCTCCCTCTGATCTCCGCGGTGGGTTCCCTCTCCATCCGAAGTCGGGAATTTCAGAGCATAGTGGAATACGGAGACAGCGGCCTTTAGTTTGTAGAGGGTCGTCCTTCCCAGGATGGCGTTGTACTCGCTCGGGCAGTCCACGATTTTGAAAGTTTCCAGAATTGTCTTCGTGGGCTGCCCCTTCTCTCCAAACCGGATTGATAGTATGACTTCACCGACGGGGTCGTCGTCTGCCCATTGAAACCCTGGATCCGCTCGCGGCAGGACTGCACCTCTTTCATGTCGATCCCCATCTTCTTGAAGGTATCATAGTAGAGAATGCTCGCGCAGGCCCTGGTGTCAACCATGATGCAGTGGATCTTTATCGCCATTATCGACGCTGTGATCACTAGGGCGTCGAACTGGGGATGATCGAACAAAACGGGGTCTTCATCAGTGAAGTAGATTTTGTTTGGGGTCGGCTCTGGTGTTGGCCTGCTATCGGCATGCATCACCCTCTGCCCGGCGTAATAGGCTTGCCGGGCATAGGCCTTGGCCTGCCTCCTGAAAAGGAGGGATTCGCCTCGGCTGGTGTTGACGGCCGGGGTAGGTGGTCAGTGTGGTCGCCTCCCAACGGTGGGGATCAATCTCTCTTTCCGCCCCTAGAGGTGCCGGCCTCGATTTGAGGGGCGGGGCAGAGAGTCATGATCTCGTGGGGGCCGCCTTGCTACTGCTTCTTCCTTCGGGGGTTCACGTCGGCGTCATCATCACTGTCGAGGCCTTCCTCAAAACGGCCTGCCTTTCTCTTTTCTCTAGAGTGGGTGAACCTCTTCAACTGTGGGTCGTCAATCAGTTTGAGCAATGCTGAGATCAAATTCCGGCACTGGTCGGTGTTGTGCCCATGCGCCTTGTGATAGGTGCAGTAACGGGACTTGTCAACCTTGTCCTTGTCGGTGAACATCGACTTCGGGTCCTGTAGTAGCCCCTTCACCTTGATTTCGTCATATATCGCGGCCGCACCCACAGAGAAGATGCTCTGGTAACTCTTCTTCAGCTCTTCAGCTTTCTGGTTTCGCTGAGCTCGGACCTCAGCGAACGACTTGCTCGGCTTCCCTGACTTCTCCTCCTTAGCCTTGTCTTTTTCCGGCGAGGCGTCGAATGTTGGGATTGACGAGGATTCCTTCGCCATGATGTAGTCTTGGGCTCGGGAGAGAAATTCCTGGTAAGTGGTCGGTTTGTTCTGACATAGAGACCACTTGAACAGCGTCTTTGGCCTCAGGCCGCCTTGAGCGGTGATCAGCAGTGCGTCAGGGTGGACCGCTCTATGTTTTGGACTCGGTCGTTAAACCGAGTGATATAGTCCTTTAAGCTCTTGTTCTCGCCCTGGGATGCTGGCGATGGATTCCTTGGGGGCGAGGCTGACCTGCGATCCGATGAAGTGGGATCGGAACGCCGACCTGAGCTGTCCCCAGGTGGAAATGGACTGAGGATAGAGAGAGTGATACCACCTTTGCGCCTTTGATCCTAGCGTTAGGGAGAACATGCAGCATCACAGGGCATCTGTGGCGCCGTGCAGATCCATCCATGAGGTGTAGAGGCCAATGTGGGAATCGGGGTCCGAGCTCCCATCGTAAAATCCGAGCTGCGGAACCTTGATTCTCTTTGGAGCGGGTTCCCGCAAAATGTCAGGAGAAAGGGGTGAAGCATGGTCTATGACCCGTGGGGTCGATTTTGGATGGGTAGGAAGTGACAGTTCACTCCCAGAGGGGCGCTGACCCTCCAGCTCGGCAATCCTACGCTTGAGGGCCGTGACTTCGTCAGTGTCGCGTCCTACAGCTTTACCCCGCTCGATGACCTCCATGAGGTCACAGTTGGCCTGACTCTTGTCTCCTAGGAATTGGTAAACAGAACGGCGAATGATTTGAAGGCTTTGCTCCGGGTGGCTCTCACCCGTCTGCTCGGTGGGCCCCGGTCTGGTGCTTTTGTCACGGCAGTTCCGGGCTTCAAGGTTGGGTGAATGAGTCGTAGTTTTGGATTTCGTCGGGTTCCTCTTTTGCCCCCCGGCCCCCTTGTTGGGGATCTGGAGCAGGGTATTGCCGGTGTTTTTCGTGGGCACCACGGTGTTTCCTCCGGCCGCCTGGCTCGCGAGGGCCTTCGAAAAGACCCCCTTGAGAGCTTTGAGGACGTCGGGATGCTGCATGGCCGCAACAAAGGTCGGGATGGGCAGAGCAGGGACTTGTGTTCCCTGCTGAGCGCGGCGGGAGGTCTCTCCGCCGTTGCGCTGGCAAGACTGGGCGCCGGACTGCTGGGTTGACTGGTCACGACCAGATGAAGTCATTTTGAGTGATTTTTTGGAAGTGAAAAGTGGAAAAAAGACGAATTCGATGTGGGGTTCCACAAGGTCGAACAATTGACACCAAGTAGCTTATGATGCCCTTCTTCTAGCGCCAAACTGTTGACGGGCGTTTCCGGTCAACAGTTAAAGAAACAAGTAATGGAAATATGGGATGAGAAAATGATAGAGAGATACAGTTTAATTATGATTTTATTAATAGATCACTGGGTCGGCCTCTCGCACGAGGTCGACACCTTTGATATCCTTACAATTCTTACAGAGGTTTATTACAAGTCTAGAGAGACAAAGTAGAGAGAGAGTCTGAAAGTTGGAGATTCAACAACCACCGAAATAAATGAGGTGGGCTGTTATTTATAGTGTCCTTAAATGTAGCACTGTTCAAGTATTGTTCACCGGCCTTGTCGTACAGTGTTTTTGCAGAGCAGTCCGACGCCTTCCTGACAGATTCAATGCGATTTGAAGTTTTCTTAATCATTGTCTGTTAGGCATTTAATGCACACATGGGGGGCATTTAATGCTGACAGGCTTTATCTCTTGGCTAGTGGAGGTAGACTTGCAGGCTACGACGCCCTGTCCAATCACCAATGATTTCTCTCCAAGTGACATTATTATATTACTATCGGGCTCTGCATCTGTCTCTGAGGCAACCACTCTGAGGCCTCAGGTTGGCTCCCGAGCTCATTCCGTTCTTCTGGCACTCCGGAATCTTACTTCAGGCCGCCACCTATTCGAGGTCGGCACCGGTGCCTGAATGGCACAAATGCCGGGCTCATGAATAGACCCACGGAGATGTCATGGTCAATTAAATCCGGAATTCTGATCGGAATTTGCACACTCGACCGGGTCTCCGGTTCGGTTTTTGGAGTTGTCTTTTGTCCGGTTCCCTTTTGAGGCGAACTCGGATGTTAACATATCTACTACTATATAATACGGTTAAGAAAAAAAAAAAGAAAAAAATCGAAAGTGAAAAGTCATTTTCCCGTTTCATTTCGATTTTTACCCTTTTTGGATTTTTTTTTTGAATTTTTTAGGAGAATCCCACCTATGATTTTATTTTTGAAATATTTAGAATAACATCTTCATTATCTTTATTAATGGAATTGTTTTTTCAGATTTTGTGGGATTCTTTCCTTATCTTAAATTTCATATAATGACATCTTCATTATCTTTAGAAAAGCTGAAAAAATTTCATTTCGTCTCTCTTTTTTCTCTTCATAATGGAAGCAAGCGAAGACGAAGGGCAACCGGGTCATCTGCTCCGTAAGCGGCTCAAGTGCAGCGATGAAGCCGAAGAAGGCATCGAGCCGGAGGTGGCTTCACGTGTGGCGGACCGGCTATTATACTCTTCGGCGGCGCTGCTGACGGCGATCGTCGTGTTAGATGCGTTGGAGCCCGATTTTCCCATCATTTGCGCCAACACCGTCTTAGCACTGACCACCGAATTTCGTGTCGATGAGGTCCTTGGTCACAGCTGGTAAAAAGTAAAAGCTTATTACTGTTTCCGTATAGACGTCCGTCTATGTGTGTGTTTGTGGATGTTCCTGTAAATGTTTGTAGATTATTATCTACTACTTGGATCCGATTGCTTTGGATTTCTTGCTTCTGGAGAAAAGAGAAGAGATTGAATTTTATCAGGGAAATTGAAATTTCTGAATTTTGGATCGCGTTCTAAATTCGAAAAAAAAGGAGAGAGCGAGAGAGAGAGAGAGAGAGAGGATTTTTATGGAAATCTTAGAATTTCACTATATTTGTATTTCCTAATATTAATGTAACTCGAGAGGGAAAATGTGATTTTTTTGTTCCAATTCACATATCATTGAGATAAATTGCAACTAATAAAAAACAAATGAAAAAAATGATATCCAATGGCTTCCTACAACTTTTTGTTCCATCTTCAAATCAAATTTATTTTATTCAACTTCAACTAAAAATTTATTCAGTTTTGTTATTCTTTTTTAATTTTCGTATTTATCCAAAAATCTTTTTCATTTTTACCAATTTTTTTTTTTTAATTCATGTGATCAATTTTCAATAATTCATAATAAGATAAGATTTACAAATTCGATTTGGTTTACAAATCATGTCTGTAAAAAAATCATGATTAAGATTTCTGTAAAAAAAATAATAATTAAGATTTACAAATTCGATTTGATTTATAAATCATGTTTGGAAATAGAATCATAATTAAGGCAGATATAATTATAAATCGACTATACAACCAATAAATTTTCAATAATTTAGAATAAGATTTACAAATCCGATTTGATTTACAAATCATGTTTCTATATAAAATTAGAGTTAGTATTTACAAATCCTCTTTGATTTACAAATCCGTGAGGCAATAAAATCACAACTGCGGCTGATATCATTAATAATACTTAAAAAAATAAAAGAAAGAGTACCAATAATTCAAGACATGCGTAATAGATTTTACATCACAATAAATTAAAATTAATACCATATAAAACTTTAAAATGAATTTGAGTTTAGATTATATACCAACTTTTTTTTGTGATTTTTTGAATCTACACTATCCAAAACACTGAAATTTTTTAACATTAGATAACTAAAAATTCAAAAACCAAAGCAGATTAAGCAAAACTTAAAATGATAATATGATAAGCCTAATCAATTTGCCTTAGAATGAAATCAAACGATTATCCAACTATATATAATAATATTTTATTTCTTAAAATTTATTTAAAATTCCAACTGTTATTTGATTTAAGTTTATTGTAGATCCCAACTATTATTTGCTTACTATATATTTAAAATCTAAAAATAGGTTGAATCCAGTTTAAGGTGATAAGCACGATCTTTTTTGTTGTGGGAAATCAAACAAAAGGTATACTATTTTAGGTATAAAATTTGATTTCATTTGATAAGCACAATCAAATTTGGTTATGACCGAATCAAACAATTTTGAATAATATTAAATTAATCGATTACTATTAAATTAATTCTATTTGATTTTCACGTTTAAAATTTTTCAAAATACTATTTTTATTTTTTTATTTTATGTGAAAAATTGCGGCTGGATGTGTAATAGCCCAAATTCTGTATTAATAAAAGTGACATTTTTAGTTCCGAGTTTGAACTATTTTTCCTTTTATTAATATTGCTTGCCTTGAGTTCCGAGCACAGTTATTCAGCTATTCAATTTCAGTTATTAATTCTGGTCCAGTTATTTTTAGAGATGGATTTTATTCAGTTGGGACTAATTATTTTCAGTTGACGAATAATCAAAACCAAGTATGTTTCGATATATCGTCCAAGTCAAGTCGTGTCCGGAACCGAGTTGTTCGGTCGCGAGCCTAACGCCTAGTTCGCGCCTAGTCGAGTCTCGAGCCCTAGTCGTGCCGAGTCTTGTTCAAGCCCTAGTCGCTTGTAAGCCTTACTTAGAATTTTCTAAGTATGAGTCGTTCCTTTATCGAGCCCTAGATAAGTCCCTCGGCCAAAGGAATCCGCACCTAGCTCGTGCGCGACCCCAAGATTTCTTGCGCCAAGGGTTCGCGAGTCGAGCCGTGCTGAGAGGGTCCAAGTGCAGCCGGGAGTTTTTTTTCTAAGTATTTTGGAGCTCCTAAGCCAGCCCAAAGGATGTGCAATACACGGCCCAAGGACCATGTGCACCGAGCCCAAGCATTGCGCGCGCCTCGCCCGAGTGCGAGTATCTAGTGCCGCGCGAGAAGGAGCCCAAGTCATGGCCGAGTTTCATGGGATATTTCATAAGTAATAGACATCATTCTTCAACCTTGGATTAAGTCCTCGTCTCGGCCCTAAGTGATGCCGAGCCCGAGCAAAGGCCGCGCCCAAGTCGCGCGCCCACCCAATTGCCGAGCCTTGGTCTAAGTCATAACCGAGCATTATATAGATTTTTTCTAAGTGTTATGGAATCAAGGGTCAGCCTTAGAGGGATTTATACTTGGCTCAAGTGATCTATGCGCTAGCCCCAGCCCTCTCGCGCCGGCCCAAGGAATGCCGCGCCCAGGCCTTGCGCCTAGCCCAAGTGCGAGTTGCATTTTGAGCCCAAGGGATGAGTTATGGCCCAAGTATTGTCCAGCCCTTAATCACGCGAATATTCTGGAGATTTAGAGGAGCTAATCCAGCTTAAGAATGGCCTAAGTATGATTAAGGAAAGTCAACCAAGATTAAGATGTAGTGAAGTGATGGGCATGCATTATTTTAGTGGTTTGTGTAAGAGTTTGTTCCCCATTACCTCATGCATAGACCAAGGCCTGACCAGAGCTCTTTCTTCAGTCTAAAATTCTATAAAAAGTTCATGTAAACTCATGCAAATCAGTTCAAGACCATGCCAACGGATGCCCATGCGCCTAAGATGAGGGAAAGTCCACTATGTCTCCATTTCAAGTCTTGGTTGTTCCGCCTTCTCAATATAAGGAACACTCCTAAGATGTTTCTCAGCTCTTGGACACCTAAGATACTTGAGCATACTCAGAATATTGAGAGAAGATTTGAGCAAAACCGAGAGAAGGCCACCCAAGGTCCACACGCGCGTGCATTTTCCCGAGACAGAAGGGTCGCGAGTTCCAGCCTATTCTCGTGAAGTTTTCTCATGGGTCAGCTTATCCCATGTGTTAAGTGGAATGGTAAGAGCCACCAGCATCCCTCATCTCAGCCTTTGGTCCTCGAGTTCATCCCCTAGACCCGAGAACGCGTGAGAGACACGAGCCAAGGACTCTTTGCACCATTTCGAGTTTGGTGAAAGGTAAGCTCGTGCCATATATTTTTCTCAGCTTTAACATGATAAATTATGATTTATCATGTAAAGAATTGATGCCATGCACGCATGCAAAGTGAAATTTCGAATTTTAAAGGTTTAAGGGCTTAATTTCGAAATTTAAGTAGCATGCATGGTTAGGTCGATTTTCATAGCTTATAATTCCTCAATAATCATGAGAATGACATTGGTAAAAGTTAGACATGGTTTGAATTCATTTGATCGGTTAAGTTGTTAGTGAAATCGAGCTTATTTCACCTCTGAACCAAGTTGATATGCATGTGAGATATGACCAATGTTCTAGCCCCTATAGTCTTGATTTTTTATGTTGATAATTCGGCCCTAAGTTAATTCATAAGTTAAGCATGTTCATTTTGTGTCCTTGGGTTCAAGGGTGCCATATCGGCGCTACCGAGCCAAGTCAAAATCCAACTGAGTTGCCCTAGCATTTCTTGTCATATTTACATTTTTTATATCATGTTATGTTAGTTTGAGTTGGTTGTCACCGGAGAAGTAGCCAGAAGTCTGGCGACGACTGGTCATGGGTCACCAGCCGCGCATGCAGCGCGCACCGTGCCCGTGCCGCGTCTACAGAGGCTAAGATTGCCTCTGTCTGTGCCCGCGCCCAGTGTGTGCGAGGCACCGCAGCCCCTAGTGCACGCGACAGCGCCCAGCAGCGCCTGTCCGTGCCAGTGCACGAGGTCTTGGCTGCCAGTCGCGCCCAAGTGCCTCCGACAACGCCCACGCCGCCCAGCAGCGCTGTCCATGGTCAGTGCACGCAATGTCTCGAGCCAGTCGCTCGTGCCATGCGGAGTAGACTTCGGGTCGTGCCAGCCGTATGCCCGAGTGTCCAGTAGACCTCGGGTCGTGCCCAGCAGCACGCCCGAGCACGGAGTTGACCAGGGACGTGCCCAGCAGCACGCTCGAGTGTCTAGGGTTGCCCGACAGCGCCCTAGCAACCCCAGCCGTACCAGAGTCGCGTGAGTAGTGCCTGGCAGCGTCAATTTCCGCGCCAGCCGCACTCGGGCCGTGACCAGTCGCACGCCCCGTGCCTAGTCGACCTCAGTTGTGCCTAGTAGCACCCGAGTGGCACCANCCGGCCAGTCCGAGTAGCCCATGACCACCCGGTCCAGAGTGAACCGGCGGTCCAACCCGTTCCAGTCCAGTCAGACTCGGTTCAGCCAGTTAACGAACCAGTCGGTTTAGCCGGCGGTTAGAGTATTTCAGTCTGAGTCTTATTCCAAAAGTTAAGTATTTTTCCGAGCTAAACCAGTTCAGTTGATCTTATCAGTCTATATTTTCAGACTCAGTATTATTTAGCGAACCCGTAGAGCGTTCCTTTATATCCGGCTACGTTATCTGATAGAGTAGAGCATCTTAGCATATTATTGAGCATATGAAGAGCATAGTACTTAGTATATTTGTTTGCTTATATTTTTATGTAGGTTGAGGAGTCAGCTACCAGCACAGCGGCACTTTACGTATTTTCAAAGCAGATCAGGTGGGGACACAATCTGGGTTATACATTGAGTATAATAGTCGATATCATGTTCAGGTATGTATATGAGTTTTATCCACTTGAGGTCAAGGCCAAGTTTGCCTTTCCTAAGTTCTGGTGGTGGCCCAGTTCGCCTTAATTATACCATCAGAGTGTGCACGTGGTTACCAGCCAGAGAGTCCGGGAGTTACCGGCCAGTGTGTTTCGGGAGTTACTGGCCATAGTGTTCCGGGAGATTTCAGATTTACTTATATATACCTGTACTGTGATATCATTATTATTATTGTTGTTTACTTTAGCCTGGATTTTTATGGAGTACAAGAGGACCAATACTCAACCCCCACTATGTTTTTCAGATGACAGGATCGGCGGGCAGGCGTGAGGGCAGTTGTGGTGGTTGTGGTCGTG